ATCACAAATAGCTCACTCGTCCATCTCTTGCTGAACTTGTGAATACCAAAAGTCGATGCCAAGGATTTTTAGCCCGATATCGTTCTGCTTCTCAATGACCACTGGTGGCTCTACCAAAAACTTCTTGCAGTACCTGAAAGAGTACCAATTGACAGTAAGACCTCAATAGTGTTCTCCGTAACGGACCCTCTGAGCGTGGCTAACGGCGTTTGTTGATCTCTCCATTGCATTTCGCCCTGAATCGTGTACTGTGCGCTAAGACCGACTGTTGCTCGCCATTTCGTGAGAAGTCGGTTTTCGAGGTCGATCTTAGTTGAGCCAATTTTGTCGTCTGAAATGGAAATTTGCAGCAACCCTCTACAGGAGCTTGTAAATTCCCATAGAGTGATATGAATATTGATTTTACGCGCCTATCAAGATATGGAGGCAAGCTAGTTAACTCACCACTGATTACTTTCCTATAGTCCATCACTGTGATAACTAAATCCTTCTCGACTGGTATATTCACCTCCATCTCAACAAATTCGCCAAAAACTGGATCGAGTGTGTCGGCTCGATATTTCTTTTTCAAGCTTATCTAAACTGTTTGATGTCTTTGGAGTTCACTCACTCTTTGATATGCTGTAATTTACCTTTTTCTTTCCACACCTAACGAGTAGGTACGGGTCGCACATGCCGTTTTTACGTTGTGAAACTAGCCTCTTTGCCTCGATAATGTACACCCTCAGGAGACACTTCACCGTACCGAGAAATTCGACACCAGGAGGATCCAGAAGTACTGAAATAGCGCCATAAGGCCGTTTCCATAAAAAAAGGAGTACGCTAATTTTTCTGTAAATTGTTGTTCTTCGGTCTCCCTCAGAATTCCCTCCTTTGATACGAATTCCCCCTCATTCACCATCCCCCATCCTCCAAATTGCCACCTTCATGAACTTTTCTGGCTTTCTACCACGTTTCGAGGTTTGTTTTCCCCCCGAAAATTCTTTTCTGTTTTTCGTTGCTAAAAACCTGCCCGGTCGAGCGATTAGTGCACCGGAGCGGGGAGGCGGGTGGGGTAAGAGGAGGGATTCATGGCGCGCACGGACCTGAAACAGGGAAAAGTGGAGCATAGTCAAACAACGTCGAACAAAGCATTCTGCTACAACAGGCAGAATTCCCTTACTACAAGGCTCAAGAAAACTCCCTACCGTCAAGCGTAAAAATACGAAACCCTACCTCGCTGGTCAACTGTGAAATCCCCAACGTGACGTTTCCCGCTCACAAGATGATAATCATCTGGATTAGTAGCATCCGCTATTCTCACTGGTGCACCCTGATGACTTATAACTTAGCATCGGCTACAGAAGTAAGATTAGTAAAACTGCTGCCCAGGAAGGAAGTCGGAGGGAAAGATAAAGGCAGTCTCTACCTGCATGTGTTCCTTAGAGGAACGGTCCGCCAGCCGCCCATGACGCTATGGAGATGGCATAGAAGAGTGTAAGGAAAGGGAGTGAAGTCTACAGGATGGAGATCGCCCTGTAACGGGCTTCACGTTGGAAGCTTGTAGAAAGGTAAAGAAAACAGCAAACGTGGGCCCCAGTGGTGACCTCCCTTCTTCCTAGTGAGTCCAGTCCCTAAGGCTCCGTCCTTCGATCGTCGCACGTTAAGCCAAAGCGATGCTACCGGACAAGTTGCAGTTTGCTCCATTGCCTTTTGTGGGGTTGCGGTTCCTTACAAGGAAGTGACCGACCAGACTCGTATCGAAACGCACTCTTTTGGCCGCCTTCTGGTCGTACAGTTCTTTGGAGAACCGGAATGGTCCGCCATGGAATGCCCTTCCAACTGTTCATCTGACTATTCCACTTCACAGAAAGGGCTCCCTCAGAACCATCAGACATTAGACAGATACATTACTTCAACGTCCAATATTTCAACACCACTATCTACCCTCCTTATCGTGGACCGTGCTTTTGATCCCAGTGTTTGGAGACAATCTGAGTCAGATTTCACACTAATAGCGTGAGCGGGACCACAGATGAGCCATTGTACCGTTGCTGGATAGTTCCCCTTCTTCTGAAGATTGGAGACGGAAGGGACTAATGAAGGGACAGCATTGGAGCTCGACTTCCGCTGCATGGTAACCGCACCGAGATGTACCTTTCAAATGAATACGCCTTTCTCCCTGGATGGACCCTAAATAGCGAAGTGAGTAAGAAGCACTAAAAATAATCTGCGAGATACTATAGAGTCCAGGTATCACATTGAATCCAAGTTCAGGTCACTCTATAGCCCACCGGCGTCCGTAGTTGGTGGCTGCTCCCGACAATTTCAGGGACAACTGCTTTTTGGTTTCAGCCAGATTGGGGTGTATTGCGTATGTAATCTGATCCACTTTTTCTTGGGGAAGCGCTAGCTGTGATCCCTTGTTTTGAGACAATATGTAGGCTTGATAGAAACAGAATTAGGCTCATATGCACACCTTCTGTGACGGACATCAACGCGAGGTGAAAATTTCAGTAAGGACTGTGAACCAATTGTGTCAATAGGAGTGTGTTGAAGGGTGAAATGTTACAGGTCAAATCCATCCTTTCAAGGTTAGTGGTCCCAGAAGTGGGCAATGTTCTCATTCAGTTGTCCCCAGGTATTAAGTCCCACTTGGAGTAAATTGGATATGACCGCTGCTGGCCTGGTCCGCATCCTGTATTCTATGTTATCAGAGCGGAGTCCGTTGAGAAGCGTTGGCAAGAGAAGCGTATCCCGACAACTTGGACAAGAACGCTGATGAAGAAGAAGATAGAAGAGGCCACTGGAAGCCAATGGCGCGCACAGTCCCCAATGCAAAGGTTAGCTGCCCATTCGTCTGGGAGGACATACTAATGTTTTACGACGAACACCTTCTGGAACACTCTGTAACCATTTACCCGTATCGTCTTTGCCGGTGATGGGCGTGATGAAGACTTTTCCTTTTAGTTCACCACTCTTCTCCTTTTCTTCAGGATCGTCGTAATTACCCTGAAAACAAGGATTGCTTGAGAACAAGTAGAATACCATCTTCTAATAGAGAACTCAAAATGACAGAACCCGAGAGCTTTTCACAAACTTGAACGTATCCAGAAAATCCTCGAATCCGTTGTAGCCATTCACATCCTCCAGTGCATCATTGAACACGGTCAAATACTCCATTCCGACATCTGTAAAATAAACGTTCTCCACTCAGCGATCTGATGGAACTCCTTGGAAAGATGCTATGACGACTCACTCCTCATATCCGGGTGCTTTTTCAGGATGGCCGAGTGAAGCGTAGTACTTGCTAAACCACCAGTCGAGCGCCGGCATACCTTCCTTACTCAGTGATGGAATCAAAGGAGTAGCGGCCAATTCGGACTCCTCTGTTTCGATGATTTTGTCGTATTTGGCCCAGTCAACCTTTTCGTTCACTTCTTTCTAAAATTTGAATTCGCTTAATTCGCTCATCTCTTCGTGCTCGTCAAAATGAACAATGATTATTCCTGCTTCGTGCTCGTCAAAATGAACAAATGATTATTCATCAGTACAACAACCTTTTTCGATGGAGTTCTTGTGTATCGATTGAAATTAGTGATGAAGCAAACGCCCACTAGAGGTGTTCTTTTGAAAGCTCTCATATCGTATAAGTTGATCACGAGTGGTGGACTGAACTCTAGATCGGCCGGCAATGAAACCTAAACTGTGACTGTCACTTTAGTAAATAGTAGCCCCCCCCTTTGAAATCTTATTTCAAAAAAAAAAAAAAAAAAAAAAAAAAAAAAAAAAAAATAAAGAGTACAAGTACTGAACTTGCTATCGCGAGAATGAATGAAACAGGCCCGCGCTCAAGCCATTCGTAGGCGTCCTTCCTTTTACAAGTAGTCTGATCCTCATTCTCTTAGGTTGTCGCACTTCTGCGGCCTCACAATATGTTAGAAAGGCGCTGCGGCCCTAATGAAAGGGGCAGTTCTGAGACCTCCTAATTATCCCGCCCACCAAAACGCAAAAGCTGTTTTCAGTCACAAGTTCGGTTTTTACACCGCGTTTCGTTCTTTTCTCACTGCTAGCTGGGGTTTGAATTGTATGACGCGAAAAAAAAACGATCGGTGAGCCAAATGCGCTAGGATACCGCTTTGTTGGCAAAAAAACGAGTAGGTTCAAAAAACCCCTCCAGAGAGGCTGCCAGAGATCCTTAGTTAGCGTGTTCTTCAACCTTCTTTTGCTTTTTTCTTTCCTGGAGAGTCATTTAGTGGCTATAGGTTGTAATTGAACGCCACTACTTTCCCACAGTATACAGTCGCGGGGTTTGTCTTTAAGCATAATATCTTGCTGTCCGTCGTCATTTTTGGTAGAAGAAATGTGTGAAGAGTGGGAGGAACTGTCCGGTTCTCCACCCACTTACCCCATTCGTATGTAACACCTGCCTTTCCTACTTGAGTGCATATCTCGCGAATACCTGAGAGATGGAATCATTTCCGTATGCAGGGTGCGCAAGCCTGGAGTAGCACCGGGCAGGGCATGCCATCGCGGTGAGATCATTCCCTGGAAAATACGCCTCCCCCTATTTCCATCCTCAAATGCGACCTCCCTACCTCCCCATGCTACCTACCACTTTCCTAGATTTTCCCAACTTCCTACCACTTTCCATTTTTTCCCGAAAAATTTCCAGTTTTTCAAGGCACCAAGGATCAAATTAGGACCCCCCCCCCTCCTCGCGGCGTCAATACGACCTTCCCCGTTTGTTGATCATCACAATGATGGCGAGCCGGTTGTGAAGCCGGATGGCCCCAGTTTTCACTCAAGGCACCGCCCCCACCTGTGATAAGGTTCATTCGTGGGCATGCTGACATATATGAGTTGCCCTGTCTACCCACTGAGCTAAACAATAGAGTGGCATCGTACTTCGTAATCGCTCACAGCTGGTACGGGTTCGGTGCTCGTAGTTACTCTTGCAGGCCATGACCGCATCTGTTGAAGATAAATCGCGCCCAACGCGCACGCAGTAGCTTGGGGCCACCTCGCTCTGTGCGCCAAACAATTTCGAATTTGCTGAACCTTTCCCGCAAGTGGACGCCAAGATATGATTAGCCACCTTTTTCAGGTCAAAAAGCCAAGGACTTACAATGGGAAAAGTAATAAGCGGAGTCTCAAAATTCGGATTCTTGACCACATTTGGAATGGGGTCTGTGCGAGTCTCCATGTCGCCAATGATAAGTTCCAGAAAAGGCCTTCGCTAACAGAAAGGAACTGAAAGTCATTTATAAGACACCATGGTATTCAGTCATCTAGATACCTACAATTTATGCAAATCATTTAACAGTGTGCGTACCCATCAAGCTCTAAGTTAATGACCCTTCCTTGCCCCTCTTCGAGACATGTATTGACCCCTGATGGGTTCGCACAACGATGCTGCTCCTCATACAGAATAATATGGCAAGAGTCAATCTGTTCGAGAGTGAAAGGGACACACGATCCAAAGCTGTGCAATAGCTTCAAGATGCGCAGGTCATCTGCCGGCGCCGACCATAGAGACGGGTGCAGCTAACCGAAAGCATGTTCTAATATGCTCAGTGGCTTGCGAAGGCTGCGATGGTTTGAGTTAAGTTTTTTGTCCCTTTTCTCAAATTAGATCTGACCCGAATGAGGTCGGGAATCGACAGAAAAAACTCGCCTGATATTTCTTCAGATTTCTAACTCCCCAGCAAAGAACTTGAATAGCGAAATTCTCGACTTTTGGTCTCAGCTCGCCAGGCACTTCGAATCCTAGTCACTAAATAACGGGGGCGTGCTTCCCATAATGGGTCGGTAATTATGAGGTTGTTAATAGCGTTTTCTCTTGCACAGAATTAGAAGAATTCTCTCACTCAATAGGTTTCCTCATTGGTAACAGAGGCAGGGCATCTCTGGTCGATTTGTCCTCACAAAACAGTTCACAGCATGCGAGAACTGCACCTCTACAAATTAACAACGTTAGTTGCACTGAATTTTACGTGGTATGAAACGTCTAGAATCGTGACGCTTTTTGTTTCGCTACAAGCCTTCCCTTGACAGGGCTCACACAAAAGGGTGTATGCAGTCCTGTCGCTCGGATAATTTGCGCGTTGGGCTGTAACTGGGCTGGTTTTGGCGCAACGCCAGCCCGTTCTCCACCAGTTGTTGAAGGAAGCGACAACAGTTGGTGGAACACAGCTGATACGAGCTGTGAAAGTGTCACTGCTTGTCAAAAGAAAAAAAGGAAGCAAACGGCTGGACGTCGCGTCAAAGCCTGCCACCCTGACACGGTTTCTACTCACTCCATCATCCGCAGCGAACAAGACTCTCAAGTCAAAAGTATTGGAACATACCACTTCTCAGCTACCTGTCCTTGGGTATAAAACCCGCCACAACCCACGCGAAACAGTGCACAGTTTGTAAGCACTAAAGCAGACGTTACTACGTCGGGAGAAACTCTACCATTGTGACTTGCTAGGGATGCATCCACTTCTGAGGCAACCATGGAAGAATCGCATCAGTGAGGAAGGCACAATAGTTAGGCGTCTCCGCCTATGCAGTTATCGGCCGAAACTGCTGTACTTTTAAAAGGCCAAACATTCGCGTGACAAGCTGGCTGAAAAGGGGCGGCGGCGACTTCGGAAGTCGAGATGTATTTTGCTAGTTGACTCCGTTTGTGTTTTTTTTTGTGTTTGAGAAAGTCTGTGGAAAGAACGCTGCACAAGGGCCTAAGTATTGAAGGCAAGGTCGCGTCCCCGTGGGAATTGGCCACTCCTGCCGCCTTCCTCTAGTTGTCCCGCCCATCGAAATTCAAAGGCTGATGAGTCAAGTTTCTACACAGTGTTTTTCATTTTTTTCACTGTTGGATGGTTTTAGCATGAGATGCACGCTCGACAGGAAAACCCAGCTTAGAGCGCCAGCGACATCGCTTTCCTGGCATTAAACCGCAGAACTCGTTTCCAGAAAGCTGCCAGACCCTTACTTCAGGGGTATCCTCCGTGATTTTTGCGCTTTTTTCTTCTCTGGAAAGTCACCTTCAATGCATTTAAGTGATACGTTCGTAATCGAACGGCCCCCCTCTATCCACAACAGGGTATCGGCATCGTGTGCTGCCAAACACATATTTGAGGGCGCGTCGTACTTTTACGCTGGGTGGGATCGTATTTAGCCGTCGCTGAGGACGGGGAGGGATCGTATGTGCGTTTGAGAGAAATTTTGCGTGCGTTAGGAAAAAAATTCCCGCTGTTGCTGCACTTTTCGCGTGTCATTTTGCTTGTATCATAGTGTACTTACAGGCACCACCCTCCCACGCCCGCTCGATCAGCAAATTTTGGCTGCAAAAACTGCGACGTGGAAGGGGGGAATTTGGCAGGGGTGAGGTTGATGTGGAAGGGGACCGAGGCCGCTCGGTATAGAGACCCGTCACTCTAAGGTGGCAGGGCTCGTGACTGAGGGTGTTACTGACACCCCTTTCTCGTGGGAGGGGGGCAGGGAATCGTATCTACACCTGCCATGTCACACAGCACGATGCTCATACCCTGTCCACAGTATTCGCGTTATAATGGGGGTTTTGTCTTTAAGGCGACGCTCCCCCTGTGGACAATTTCCTTACCATTGCTCCACAATTAAGTTTGTAGAGTCCATTTATGCAATTAATTATACCTGGTTCTTCCATGAGTGAAAGTCAGCGTGTTCCATTTCAGCACCGCTCGTGAATCAGTGGCCGTACATATCACAGTCGGATTAGTTAAGAATCGTCCAAGAAAAATCTGCAAGAGTGTTTGTGACGGCAACGAATAAGAAGTGAAATGATAGCAGGCGATACTTCGCTTCCATTCTTGAGTTCTCCGCGAGTCTCCACTAAAACCGTCGGTGGATTCACGCTGATTTGCCTTTTACCACCAGGAATGAGCATCTGAAAAGATATACCTTTCGGTACACTAGCCATGATCATTTCTGCTAAGTTTACACCCTACCCTGTCAAATATGAGCGTCTCATTCCAAACGGGATTTTGTGAATCTTCCACAACCAACGTCTGTTTTGCTTTAGTGAGAAATGTAACACGCACAAACGCTCTTGCAGAATTCTTCACCAACTGGTAGAAGATCCTTAAAAAATTTGTTTAGACACAGGACTTAAAGGCACACTGCACGCTGATCTTCTTGTCCAGACTGGGTCGGGGCTTCCGTTTGTGCCCTTATGCTCATCGGTCCGCCTTTGCTCTTTAAAGGCAAGTGGCACGATAAATCCTATGGGCGTGTGTCCGGCGCCCCTAAGTAAGCGCTGCGTGGGCCTTTTCTAAGGAAGGTACACTTATTAGGCCCTATCAAGCTGCAACATACCGACCCGGACGCCCATGGCACCCGCCCGCCCACAAATGGACCTAATGCTCGTATCGCTTCATTTGCGAAGTACAATATGAAGCGAAGGGATTGATATGAAGCGGCTGCGGTGCTGCATGGATATATGAGTACATGCAGCCGTATCTACCGTAGCGTTATTGGCACGATGCCAACGGAAAACTCGTCCGAAATGCTTTCTGAGTCGTGTAGAACAAAGGCTTTTTTGCAGGTTTTTGACCGTTTCACTTCGCATTTTCTGCATTTTTCCCCACTATACAGCATCCCTGCTGCCATTTTAGACCGAGTACCGACCCATCGCCTGTGCCTTATGCTTTTAATGTGAATCAGATAGAGCTGGCTAATTTGCTGACGAGTGCGCCCAGTCCATATATCGATGCTCTGACAGGGTGTGTTTACTACTTATAAACGCGGCCACGATTGCATGCTATAGACAAGTGGAGGTTCAGGCAGAGAAGATTGTGGAGTGCCTCAAGGTCTTCCTGAGTCGTCCGCGCTCTCTTGCACACATTGCTTTAGCCTTTGTCATCTTCATCACCTTCTATTCGGACTTTGCAGCATGAGCAACACCTCAAATGTTATCCGCATCAGGAAATTGCGTTTTACTTGTATTCCAAAGCGCAATTACAGGACTTGGCAAAGTGCCAAGAGCGCTGCGCGCGACACGCGCGCGCGGCTGTTAGCATAAACGGGAGTCTGCGCCGCAAAAGGCATTGGGCGGAGCATGGAGGAATTAGCGTGTTTCACGGTCCTGTATCTCCATTCCTGCGCATGTTAGGACGGGGAAACCGCTACGCTTCGACAGCTGGGGGGGGGGGGGGCTGATGATGTCACGCATACCCAAAAACTATGTGTGACCTACCTGTGTCTTTAACTACCCCCTACTTGCCTCAGCATGGTTTTTGTTCTCTCGTACCATTCTCGTTGAGCTCGAGGATTCTATACCATAACAAAAACATAACCCTTCTTACCTTTGCCCATACAAAGTAGCACCGGAGCTGCCACGTCGTAGTCGTTTCATGTACTTCATAGATACGTGGAATGAAATACATTTCGTGCTCGCGATTTCGCGGTAGGTTCCTCAAAATTTTGGTATAAGTGCTAATATAGGTGTCGCGATTTTCGATGATGAACGCGACCAATTGCAATGTTCAAAAAGGGGCATTTCTACACTGGGGTCCTACACGCGTGCTACAGTAATCGATAACCCGCCAAAATGCTGCCTTTGACCCTTCATACTCTACCAGCAGTCTGCTACCCTCCTATCTCCCCATACTCTACCAGCTGTCTGCTACCCTCCTGTCGTCTCATACTCTCCACTCCGGGACGCTGCTGATCGCTGATAGACGCTGGCAGACGCTAGATCGCTGTCTATACTTTCCTAGTTGCTGACGCTGCTCGCAGCTCACAACGATGTGTGCAACGCTATTGGTCGGTGATGGACGCTGTCGCAGGGTATGAACGCAGCCTTATTGAGTTCTCTCACTTCTGCCGTTGCATTTCCATGACGAATCTCCGTCGTCGAATACAGTCAGAACTGGTTTCCTGATAGTGAAATGGCTTGTTCTTTCCAGTGGCATACTGTAAAGATTTTTTAGACCACTATTCATAAGAAATCGCCCGATTGAAACCGTCATTCACATGGACCCACCTCCCATTTTGTATCGCCCAGTGACTCCTGATAAGCATCGAAGTTCTGATTTTGAAAGTCAAGCGACTTTCGCGTTCTTTTGATGCATCGTCGGCGAAACTTATGGTCTGGCCTAACAATGTCAGATTTGAATGGGTATTCTTTTCAAAAAAGGATACAATTAACCCAACCTCTGTTCAGTGTCTACTGTGCCAGGTTCTCCCCAGAATACTTCCGAAATCGAATAAACCCATCCGTTTTTGTCACCGTAGTTATGATGTTTATCCGGTACCCATTTGCCCTCGTATTTCCAGCCTAGAATTTGCTCAGCTTAGGCAGCGTTCAGACTTCGCGACCGCAGCGCTTCGCTCGCGCGTTGACGCGATTGATCGCGCATGCTTCTGACTGCGTCGATCGACGAAAGCATGCGCGATCAAGCAGTTGAAAGCATGTGCGATCGATGCAGTAGAAGGCACCGACGCATCGCGAAATCTGAACCGCTGTCTTACAGACTTGATCGCAGCGGATGATCGCTCGTCAAAGCGGCTGCGTTTGGTACACTGCAAGCCCATTTCCCATCGATTGCTGAAAAAGGCAGTCGACAGCATCTGCTGGGAAACGACTGTTACCATCCACGTGATACAGCCTTGCCGCTTGCCGCAAGAAAAAATGAGACGGGTTGGCTAACAATAAGCGCTGCCGCGCTGACACGCCCCATCATCCGCAGCGAACGAGTCCATATGTCACACTGCCAGCAGAAACGGGAAAAAAAGAAAGATAACAAGCAAATCGAACAATAACATACTTACCTTCTCCTGGATCGCGCAGACGTGCCTTCTCGATCTCGCCGCCAAAGTAGTCTGTGAACTTCAGTGGTCGCCACCTAGAGGATCTTACCTTTACCCAAGTCATAGGATATTTTTATTAGAGCAAACCCAATGGTCTCTGTGGCTAAGCCTGACAGATGTGAAATGACAATCAATGT